GGACAAGAAGATTAAACATAATATTATGTGAGCTTTGAAAAACCTTCAAGATAGCCTAATAGTGAGATTTGAAGTGAATCGGTAGCGTTCATAGAGCTCTATGGTAGAGCTACGGACAACGAATACAATTCAGCACTGTCAGCAGTTCGCGTCTTGGTACCCCTAAAAAATTTATTCACCAACTTCACCCATGCTGAAAATCTCCAACAAACACCGTAGTCATTCACACCATTTATTCATTTTCCTCGCTTAAAAATGCAATTTTTACGTCATATTTGAACCTACAGCTCAATGTTAACCAAAATATTACGTGGCTGTATTTGGTCATTGGTTGGATTTGAACTCGGACCTTAAGAACGCAAGTTGTGCTCTATAATCATCCTTAAACCCGCTGGGGGTGTAATATCTACAGTTATTGAACAATTTTGACAAAACAATTGACAATTCTAATCGAAGTCGGTAAGTCAGTTCGATCAGTAGAAATTTGAATAAACCAAGTGGTTCGGAACCGATGTATGGTATTAACAGCGTTTAAGGTATGTTAGGCCCAAATTGCTTGTACATTGCGATCATGTGGGTGGGTCTTCATATGTATTAATTAACATTGTGATGAGAATGAACCCGTGAACACAGGTCACTTCACCATACACGGTGAAAGCTATTACACCGGTCTGTGTTAGTAGTGAGTGGTAATTTCCTCTCAGACCTATAATTAACACTGACAAGATCATAGCTGGTTTATACATATTGAATTATATCTGGTTGGTGTTTTAGCACAATTATTCTAAACGGAGATGTCATTTTAACAGTCTATTACTCTCTCCTAAAGTGTCAATAAACTGTATAGAACTATTAAATTTACTCCATATTTTTGGAACAACTTTAAAATACAAGTCAAAACTTTATCTTTTACTGATTGGCTTGATTTTAAGTTTGCTTAAATTTCTTGATATCGAAGGGATTGAAGCTATTTTAACTGTTTATATTGGCATGAGTGGACCTAATGCTTATTTGTAATAATCTGGTCTAATAAACATTTATAAATTTCACAAAACAGATCCCTTTGGTCTAGAATATGATTTTTAATATAATGTAAGTTATTATTTTATTGTTGTTGGTTACCCTATTAACCTGTCCAATTCCTACCACTGGACTACGGACGGACACTACAAGCATTATTAAGTTAAAAGCCAAAGCCCATATATCTCTCGCTATTATTTTAACTAACCATTCTTAAAATCCACTGCACAACTGTATAAAACTTGACTCTAATTTTCTACCTAAAATAAACTTGAGTTTAAACCAAACCTTTAAATAAATAAATCAGAGAAGTTGATGATCTGTTAAAGCACCCAAAATGTATGATCAACAATTTAAATGCAATTTTCCATTGTAAATATTGTAAATGATAGTGCTTTCAATGTCATATAATTTGAAGCTGTCTACAAAATTATGAAGGGATGAAGTTTTCTCCACAATATCTTTGAAAACATTGTTAAGATTTTTCACTTAAGGTATCATAACTAACCCCTTACAACAGTATGAATCAATTGGACAGTTTGTTTAAATGAACAATTTTTTCTTCAAAATATTTTTAGTGATCCAAACCATTTTTGCATTGACTATAAGTGCTCATTCCCTTGTCTGTGCTTAAGACACGTGAACAATAATATATCTAAATTAAATTTTAAAAAACAAGTGTGTCTATACACAACAAACTGGCTAGTAAAATCGAGCAACGTTGCAAACGTACATGGTTTAAATTACATATTCTTAACATTTTCCGTCAAGAACGAGAGGTTAAACGTTATCAAAAGCTATTCTAATTAGGCAGATAGATTACACAAACAAGCAGTTATCGCACTATCAGATCTTAACTACACAAATAACATAATTAACTGCTAACACTGTTGAACAAAATACATACCTAAATTGCACTCACAAAAACCACACAATAAGTTGTGAATAACAGTTTTATAATTAAACTCGGTTCCGAACCACGCGGTCACTCAACTTGCCGCGGCGGACGAAGGCGCAAAGGACGGAAAACAGACTGTCGTCTGCTGATAAGGCGTAAGGCGGATTACATGGCGGAGATAGGGCGTCGATTACGATTGGCTGCCGTCCGACCAATGAGAGGGCTCGCTCGCCGCTCTCCGCCAATCAGCTGTTTTTGTAACGTCTTGCTGTGTTTTGCACTACAGTACTTCCAATTTATAATAAGCAATTTATTTATTTATCAAAGAATACATTAAACTGAACTAATTATAAAATAATAAAGTCAAAGCTAATTTATTAACATGCAATTAATGTACTTCCGGGTCTTGCTATGTATTGTTTTTTTGATTAATTGCCTTGCACAATGTTGAAATTTTATTACTTTTGCAATGCTGTTTTGTTGTTGATATCAATGGTCATTTATTTATAATCTATTGTTATTGTTTAGGTCTCTTTGTTATTTGTTGAGTTTATCTTATTTCATCAGTTTAAATTTCGTTGGTCATTCTAGATTTAGGAGTTACTGGTCTAGTTCTAGAACACAAAATATTTTATTTTATTTTTATTTATTTTATTTTATTTCAACGGACATTCCATTTTGTTTGATTTGGTATAATGTGGACAATATTGTATAATATTGTAGCCTATATATTGTTAATGAAATTGGTCGTCCGTCAATAAGTAATAAAAAGTGAGGTCCTTTGTCATTGGCCAGAAGAACTATCTATATATTAATAGGCAAGCATGTTTCTTTAAAACCTTTTTTCTCAGCTCGTGTGCATCGTAGGGAAAATCTACGCATACCGTTGGAAAGCTATTTTCCTGTAGGTGTGCAGAACCCCTTTATAAATTTAAATAGGCTCAAAGATAAGCACAAAAAATGAGTTTAAAAATTTGAAAAAATTAACATGGATCTTATGCGTTGCTATGCTGGTTACGAAATAACAACGAAATATAAACAGAAAATCAAAACAAATGGAAGAAACTCCAATCACATGTTTTATTTACAGTGTGGGGTGAAAATAGATAAGTTAGTACATTACATATTTTTGGTCGAGTTTCGACCACTGGACGACCTCTAGTTTAAATTATTACTTAAAATTTAATTTTGCCACTAAATAAAATGTTGACCGTTCTATATCCAGCTGGTATTTATAAAATACACTTTTAATATGTACTAATAATTAATTAATATGTACTAATAATGAATTAATATGTACAAATATTGAATCTAATATTGCGTATCTTCGTCATGGTTTTGGTTAATTTTTAAAATGTGTAACTTTATCAATGACCAATGCTTTTACAAACTTTTATTTACAACGCCATTCCTAAAAGTGATTAATTTATATATGAAAAGATTTTCCAGTCATTTACTAAAAGTATAGATACTATATCTCTCAGCAAAACCGTATGAAAAATTACCTAAATTAAACACGAGAACCGACACAAGTCAAGCCTTACGTTAACGAAGGCTCCTTAGTTTGATTAACCTCAACACATCTATCAGTGTCTATGAAACCCAACTCTGACATAATTACATTCACGACAAGTTTAAATTAATCTTAAGCTCATATTCAGAGTATGATAAACTCAGGGATGGGAAAAGGTTGAAGAGGAGACTTTTATGAAGAAACTCATGTATTTAGTTCATTACCATCATAGTTCTGAATTTTGTTTGATTAAATAAAGGTTAAAATTGAAATCCACATTTTAAATTGTCACATTTACTTTAGAGTAACATACACAATATATGTGTACTTTTTTATTATATGGCTTTAGGGGGGGGGGGAGGGAGATCTGCAATGCAGAAAAATTTTCTCTCCTCTAAGAAAAATTTCCTTTCTCCTTTCCTATGATGTATTGCCACCAGATGGAATCATAATTGGCTTTAACTCGTTCGTCTTGAATTCTAATAAAAAAAACATATTCCTAATATTCAAAATATTTCTTTCACATCTCTATTGCGACGTTTCTGTCGATTAAAACTTCGTCCGATGCACTAATCTGTATAATATACTTGACTTGGTTTAACCATGACACAAATAAATTAACGTGTTTAAACTTGTGTTCTTTAATTTAGACAAACAAGGTACATTAACCACTTACTAAAGGTGGATTACATACCGGTTCTAGGCATCGCATAGCTAAAAATCATTTGTGATCGGTGGGATTCTAACCCGAGACTTCAGGACGGAAGCCTAGAGCTCAATCGGTCACCCCGCTATGCACAAAAGCCAATGTAACAATTTGGACAAAACTCTCTACTAATCCAGTTGAAATTGACATCTTTCCGAACTTCAAGCTTCGTGCGCCACTAAAGTTCCATCACATGGGTCGGAACCGAGTTTTGTCCTCGGTTATAATGTTAAAGTGTGACTGTAAGTCATCTGATCAACAAACTATAACAATACTGCTTGTGTAGAATATATTAACCATATACAAATATAATTAAATATACACCGACAGCAGTGCTGTTGTTAGCATATGTTCTGGCGTCCAACGCTAGGAGTGCCTTGTAAGCGTGTGCGCCTTAACTACATGGCGATCCAAACAGTTTACGCCAGAACATAAACCACAGCACTGCTGTCGGTCTGTATTTAATTCTTTTTGTCTAAACAGACAATTACATGTTATAGCAATCTATCCTTTTAAAATTCTCAACTTTAAATCCGATCCCAAAGTTCCTCCATAACCAATTATAAGCGCATCAATCATACAGAATCTCTAGACGATCACAGAGGTTACTGTACGATAGCGGCGTCAATTATGATTTGTTTAATTGCAGCTGGAAGGCGGCGCTGGGACAATTATGGGTAATTTATGGGAAAGCCATCGCAACTTCCCCCAATTAAAACACTTAGAGACCAAGACCGGGTCAATTACCAAGCGGGGTAGGCATAGAGCACATCGGTCACCTTAGGTAAGCTGGATGTTCCGAGTAGCACCTTTACAGTGAACAAACATTAAAAAAGTACACTTTGCAATATGTTTTGACTTACTTGAACAATCAAACTTCAATCAAGCGTCAGAGTTGATCCGGAATTGCGACCAAGTCATTCTGAAACAAAAGTAAATATTAGCATAAGGTGAAATAAACTGGAATAAACCAGTCAAAAGCTGGAAATACCACACTAGGTAATAATTGACACTATGCGTGCGGATGAAGTGTGTTTTGCTTGCCTTCTGTCCAGAAGGGTCTGGGTTCAAATCCTGCCAATCGCCATTAGTTTTTAGCTGTGGGAAGTGCATCGGTGTAGATAGAGCACGGGGTTCAATTCCTGCCAACGACTAATGGATTTTATCCAAGTAATGCCACAACCCACTAGGACTAGCCTGAAGTTACATTTAAAAGGGGATTCATTTGTAAACAAGCCCGCGAGGACCACCGCACGCTGCAGGAAGATCTTCGGCGGCGGCTACAAAGGTGCGTCTCGCGCTCACTTCATGCTATAATGCGATGCAAATGAAACGTCCGTCGCATATCTCACAGTCGGCGAATATAACGGAACTCCGCCACACTCACACTGCTGCAAACATTCCGGGGTTGCGACTGAATTTCGGGAGTGTTTCTTCAAGTTCTGCTCGGCAGGCAAGATGTTGACACCTTACGCCTATCCAAATATTTTTTAGCATCGAGGCAAGAAGCTGATTAAGAGTATCCAAATTAAGAGCAAGGGGAACTAGCTGACCAGGAAAAATCTTTTTCGTTGACATTAGTTGTGGTTCTAGCTTTTTATATCGAGAGTGAAGAAAAGGGATGCTCAAAGAGACTGTTAGTTTTAGCTGGAACGAATTTGAGAAACTTATTCCCTAAACCTGCCAATTTCCAATCACGAACTGGATCAAAGCGGTTCAAAGGGGCTGAGCTCAAACCAGACAATCTCCAGTGCATATCTTAGTATTTCCAAATGTGAAAGATGTATACCAATCGAATTGACATGCATAGATTATAATCACTAAACGCAAATCCGTAGTGTCTAAAAGACTTCAAACATACTACAGAGAGCTCCGCTTTGAACAATCATCCAATAATTTCAAAGTCAAAAGTGAAATTTTTTTCAATTTCGTGAACATACTGCGTTTTTCGTCGCTTTACGCTAAACATCGAACTCGAGACGTCACAATTCCAAAACATCCTTTGGTATATTGACTGAAAAACATGTACGCCACAAGAAAATCCTTTAAATCCAAAAACTGCCATTCCGGTTGGTTTTTTTAAAAACTCTCATTCCTTGTGGAAGCAAACTTCATTCTGGAATTTTTCTTCTTTGAACTATCCTCAGATATTTTCGTCAGCAAACCGTTCGTTTGTCCAGACGCCAAACGTCGGGAAATGTTCCATTTCCACATCTCTCGGTGTATCCGATGTGAAAGGTCAATACGATCATATCGCCTGCTGCCGGAAGCGACGCCATTAGCATTGGTAATACCCACACACCTGAACCTAAACCGTCTTGTCAAACCCGGGCTTCACCAGGTGGCAGATAAATCAACGATTTTACTGTCCTTCCAGACTTAATTTAATTAAGCTGCAAATTGACCTATAAACCTCCAGGGTGAACTGACATGGGAATGTGGAGATAGAATCGCTAATTTGAAATACCTTCACTCAATACGGAGGGAGTGCTCCCTTATACATAGAGATATCTTCAAGTCCTAGTCTGAGATGTCCTATTTTTAGTTCTCTATACCAGAAAGTAGTTACACCTTGAGGTAAACTCTGGATCAGTTCCTGATTAAAAACAAATTATTAGCAGGATTTGAACTCGAAATGTATAAATTGGGGCAAACTGCTAAGAAGAAACTTAATTTGGAACTACCTCCAGAGTTTATTGAGCGTCAAAAGGAAACTGAATACTCTAGATATTTTGTAGCGGGAGCTGGCAAAACTGGAAGTGAGGTAGTCAAGTCGCCGAAAGTCGTTAGTTTAGTTTAACACCACCCATAGAGAACACGTGTGTTTTGATGGCTTTGCTTCGAACGAGAACATCACACAGACCAAAAGTCTTACAGCCAATACTGTAGTTGCACTTAAATGATTCTTCTTGGAGGATTGTCTTCATCAAATGAGCTCTGGACAGCAATAGCTTAAATTTGGCTTTGTGAAGGAGGGTGTACAATTCTTATTTTATAGTTTATTATACTGTACTTGTTTACTGTTGCGTGACTAATTAGCTACAGTACTCGACTAGGAATCACGAGGTCCCCGGTTCGATCCTGAGAAAAGTCAGTTGTTCAGTAATGAAATGAAAAATCATTTATTTACACAGGCTCAGTACACTATCGCCGAATGTTTAGTCGAATTTTTAACTCGAGTTGCGACGGCGAATGCTGTTTGAACGTTCGCCGAATGTTCGCCAATGTTCAGCGAACGTGCTCGCCAGTTGAGACATATTTTAACCTCTGGCCCTTGTCTTTGCTTCCATCCTGTGACCTCTTTGACAAAATGTGGAGTACAGGCGAGTACGAATCGTGGCAAGGCAATATATATCAAGCGTACACAGCAAACCGAGAACACTATCGTGCTCGCCTGTGTTTGGCGATAGTGTACTGCTAGCATTCGAAAGTATCTCCGAACGCAAACCTAACTTTAAAAAACGACCCCGTTTGGAATCGAACCAGAAAACCCTCACATTTGAAAACACTAACCACTCAGTGAACTTATCTGACTTGTCTGCTTTCTCCCGTAAAGTATTATAAAAAATCTCCCAACACAAACCCAAGCTATCCCGCAGGCTCCGAGCAACAGCTCAGTTATGTTTGACAAATGCGCCCCCCCCCCTACTCTGACTGGATGACTGATGACCGCGGTGGCAGATGGTATATGACGGTGGAGGGGGTGGAGGGGGGAGGGAACAACGCAAGCGCAGTTTAGCGATTTCACAGCGGCCTGGGAACAGAGTCTGGCGCATGATTACTGTCGGGCTCCTCCCACTTATGGTCGTTGTGTTATCGTTAATTGAGCGACGATTTGCACTGTCTTACCTCGGGAACTAAACACGTTGTGAAGCGTCGAATGTTTTGACACTAGTGTCTGGAATTTTTTATTTAAGAAACCCGATTTGCAGAGTAGTTAGTACAGTAGTTCGAAACCTTCCAATTTTAGTCGGGAATCGAACCTATCTCGCTAAACGCTAACCTATAGGCTAACACCACAACTTAAAGCTCGAAATGTGTTTAAGGTCTAAGAGAAACACATGAGCCTTTGATTTTTAATTATGAATGAGACATGCCGAAGGGTTGTTAACCAGGATAAAATATCACACAAACTAACTTCTATACTAAATACTACTGTACAGAAAACATGACCTAGCATCCAATCATCCAATTCACCATGTAACGTTTAACGTTCAAAATATTAAAGCTGTTCCTTGAGGTTTAGAGGGAAGATTTTGCGAATTTCCCTATAGGGAAGTAGCTATTTTATTTAATCTTTGTGGGGCAAACGGTTGGTATGTAATAGTGAAGGATACCTTACGAGACTCACCCTGTATATTTTATCTTTATCCATACGCCGAATTTGTGTCGCAGGAAGTTTGAAAGTTATTTAGTTAAACTTCATAAATTGTATTCTATAAACTAATCTAAACTGTCAACGTCGGCTGCTACACCTAAATAAATAAATTTCCATAAGACTGAAACCCAAATGGCTTCGACGTTTCCTACCTCTAGAAATTATCATCGTAAAAAAAGAATCATGATAATCCGTCAAGTGATTCAGAATAGTTGGGAAAAATACTCTTCGAGAATAGGATGTTATATTAGTTGTTCTACAAGAGTGTGTGTCTGAACGTAACTTACTCAACGTGGCCTCTGCCAGTCCCGGCTCCGCGCTCCGCACTCCGCAGTCCGGCGGATCACGGATGAACTCTTGACCGGGTCACACCGGAGCCTCGGGACTCTCGCCTTCGCCCCCCTTGCATACTTCACCGAGATGTGCTCGCCTGCGTCTACACCCAATAGCGTTCTTCAACCGCGAATTTTCTTTAAAATAATGCAACTTAATTCAACGTTTCCGATTACACTAAATAACTATGGCGTTCTGTAGTCATCATTACTTCGGTTACCACTTGGTTATTGGATTATTTAAGGATGATACCTCAAATGAGTTCCTAAGTATTGAATCCTCAAGTACTCTCGTTCTATGATCACTTCAGTACTATCGTTTAGGGGTCGCAAAATTAATTAGTTACGGTATTCTGTACTCTCGTTTAAGTAATATATACCCCCGCCGCAGCAAATCTGCCGACTTAGCGAATTTCCATTTGTTTTAATTGATTTTCAATTGAATCTATTTAAATAACATTAAGTTTAACGAGTACCTAGGTTTTTTGCTACAAGGAAACTAATAAAGTGTGGGCTTTAGTAAAATATTAATAGCTTATAGGTAGTATAAAATAAATAAATTTGCCAGGTTTTATCCAAATATATCAATAAACAAGCCAACCACAACAGTAAAAAAGTAATTGTTCATACAAAACTTTAAAAATTGTGGCTTTTCCGGAAGTGAATCTAGGATTCTAGGAGTCCAGTTCTCTGAACAGTCAATGGGTAGGCCTACCTTACAGTAACTATTATTAACTTTAGTAGGCCCAACACAAACTTATCTACCACAATAAACTGTCTAAAGGGGTTCATGCCATAAAATATTTTTTTTAAAGATGAGACAACTAAATGTTACAATGGATATGTTGCTAGTCCAGTTAGACTCATCAGATTTTACTGTAAGAGTGAGAGTTAAACAATCCCGGTATTCAAGTAAAATAATCAGGTATTCCTCGTTAGGTTCAATATCAAGATAATCCCCGGTATTCAAGTTCAAAATTCAGGTATTCCTCGGTATTGAGGTTCTATATTCAGGTAATCCCCGGTATTGAGGTTCTATATTCAGGTACTCCCCGGTATTGAGGTTCTATATTCAGGCACTCCCCGGTATTGAGGTTCTATATTCAGGTACTCCCCGGTATTCAAGTTCAGAATTCAGGTATTCCTCTATATTGAGGTTCTATATTCAGGTAGGCCTACTCCCGGTATTGAGGTTTAATATACAGGTACTCCCCGATACTGAGGTTTAATATTCTGGTACTCCCCGGTATTGAGGTTTAATATACAGGTAAGGTACTCCCCGGTATTGAGGTTTAATATACAGGTACTCCCCGGTACTGAGGTTTAATATACAGGTACTCCCCGGTATTGAGGTTTAATATACAGGTACTCCCCGGTATTGAGGTTTAATATTCTGGTACTCCCCGGTATTGAGGTTTAATATTCAGGTACTCCCCGGTATTGAGGTTTAATATTCTGGTACTCCCCGGTATTGAGGTTTAATATTCTGGTACTCCCCGGTATTGAGGTTTAATATTCTGGTACTCCCCGGTATTGAGGTTTAATATTCAGGTACTCCCTGGTATTCAAGTTCAAAATTCAGGTATTCCTCTATATTCAGGTTCTATATTCAGGTACTTCCCGGTATTGAGGTTTAATATTCAGATTGAGGTTTAATATTCAGGTACTCCCTGGTATTCAAGTTCAATCCCGGTATGACAAGTTTGGACCAGGTTAGAATTCCCCTCAAAGTAATGCGTTTACGATTAGGAGACATTACTGGTGTTAAAGCATAAACAAAACTGTTAACACATTCTTTACAAAACAGCAGTTATCATTCACAAACGCCTACAACTCAGTTCGCCCACTACGCCTCGGTAACACATTGGACAGACTGAACAGACTTGCTAATTGATTCAATTGTCTCCTATGCCACTCATCTCGGGTCTATTTTTACTTTCATCACTGCTACTTCTTTTGTCGCCTCACTGACTTGAAATCAAAGGATTTTAGGTATTGTAGTGATCATTTCGATCTTCAAAAAAAGATTTTTTGTTATTTTAGTCTTAAAGTCGAATAAGATATATTATTTACGTAAAATGAACAATTTTTAAGAAATTAGATCTGAATATGATTCAGATAAAATGGAAAAAGGCCGATTGTGACTATATTATTATTCCCAGACAATCTTTTAAAGTTTTGATCACATCTCTAAAACACCAGGAACAAAAATTACGTGATTCCTGGACACATATTAATTTTTTAAATAAAAAACCTTATATGTAGGACAAGATTGACAAGAACGATTTACTTTTCACCAGAACAGATTAAAAAGGAAAGCAATAAAATATATTTCCTGTATTAAAATATTTTGTCCACCGTCAGCTATCTTAATTAATAACGGATTAATTTTATACTTTTATTAGCAGCTAAACAGACGTTTGGTTTGTTTTATTTTCCATTGAGTTGTAATTTTTATTGTCATGGGTAGATGTATGTGAGATTGTTTATAGAATATTGATGCTATCTTTGACTATTGATACAACAGATATTCCAACATTTATGTTAAAGTTGTCACTAATTATTTAGTAAAAATCATCCATCGTAGTCGATTTGAGCCTTATGGCTTACTGTGCTAATCCAAATTAATAATTTCTGTCGAATAAACAATCTTCTCACTAGCACATTCTGTGACTGGCTCTCACAACTAGGCTATGTTTTTTTAATAAAAAATTGGCAACAGCTCGACATACAGATCTTGGGATGTCTGTCTACTTCAGAATCCTATAGGCCCTAATCGATTATTTCATCAACTGAGTACCTACCATATAATATGCAAGAACAAATAAAGGTGTTTGGAATAAAATTGAACTTGAAAGCTTGCCTTAAAAAGTTAATGTTCAACCTAAGAGGATCAATTTTGGAGTTAGGTTCCTTTTATCATTGGGTTTAAATTAAGCTATCTTGAAATGTCAACGTAAAATATCAACAAACCAAGATGGAGTGTTCCTTAAAAAAGCTTGTGGTATATTTACTTACAAAATTTAAAAAAATAATAGATAGGACAGGCATAGGCCTAGATGAGTACCGTAATGCTTTTGATCTTGAATGAATGTTTAAGAAAACTTATGTTAGGTCTATAATCTTTTAATAGGAACAAATGAGTTAAAGTTGTCAAGCGTCATTAGGTAAAGCAGAAGTACAAGCTAGAACTGTTAACTGACTGCGACCACCATGCAGAAAAGCAGTCAATATTTCATTAATGCTAAGTTATGCTGGGTCCCATTACAAAGTCAATGATGTCTGAGAATGACATTGTCAGTTTTGAACCTTCAAGATGTAGCCTACGGACTAGAGTTGGAAGAATGATAATTCCAACTACATTTCACAGTAGGGGATTTTTTCTAACCAGGCTTAGACTTTACAAAATTATATTCACAGTAGTTAATCTGGGGGCTAAGCGTCTTATTTGTGGGCGTAAAGCTATTTACAGCTTTAAAAAGCCGTTATTTATTCGATTCGATCACAAAAAAATGTAACAATTAACTTTTAAAACATAATTTAAATTAACAAAGAAAATTTTGACCTTAAAAATGTTAAGTTAACCTAATATTGAAAATTTATGCTACAGTTTAACGCCAGCCATTTTCCCTTTCATCTGGATCGATATTTGGCGCACTTATAAAAATAATTAGGATTAAAGCACAGGTAAGAAGGATGGAGACAGACAGATTTTTACTGCCTTCTTGATGTTATTGTAGAAAAGAAAGAAGAATCCACCAAGTTTAATACTCATGCGTGTTATTTAGTAGTAAAGCATTGAGTCATCACTAGCCCTACTAGACCTGCGTGAACCTCGCTACTGACTAAATAGGCCTTAGGGGTACAGTTTCTTAACTGGGCTATGCGTATATCGATTGAAACTATCGATACGATTAACTTAGTAAACTTTCATGCGATTTTTTCACCATCAGCAAGTTTGGTTGGTTAGGTTAGGTTATGATAGTTAATTTTTATAATAGATATATTTAAAAATATCGATTAGCCTATTAATCAATATTTTCAATCGATATTAGCATAGCCCAGTTAAGAAACTGTACCCGGCCTAAGATACACCCTATCTTTTGTGTAGCCTATGTAATCAATCCTGTTTATTCACATATGTGTCTACTGTAGAACTAAATTAGCCGACCTAAATGAAAATAATATGTGAACACATTTGAAGCAAATCACTCTTGACTCTTAACTGGTTTGAGGGTAAATTAAAGTAGGCTAAACGGTTTAACTATTTACCTGTCTATTCAACAAAAGATTTCCTCCCAAATGGGAACTCTATGAATTCATACGGTACTGTGATTTTTTTAAATAGGCCTAGTGTTAGTTTCCATTACATGTCATTGTGTTGTTATTCTACACAAGTAGATAAAGCTTAACTTAGTTTCAGACTAGACAACAACTTTAAACCAAACCTTACATCTTACAATTGTATTGCCCTTGGCCCTAGTTTATCAGATTCTTCCACTTCTTTACTACCTATCTTTCTGTGATATTCTTGAGATAAAGTAATATTCATACCAGTAATTGCTTTGCTAAATTATCAAACCAACTAACATAGGTTCACAAGCCCTAGGCTAGGCTGGTAAATATTTTAAAACTCACCTTTTAATTGAAACCGTAAGTACTGTAAGTGTTCTGACCTAACTGGAGTGTTAACTTATTTATATATATATATAATTGATTCACTTAATGAAAACTTCAAACTTATCAATTTCGAGGTTTACAAACTAAACGATGATGACGTACGGCACGACACACAATTAAATTGACAAATGAAAATGACAATGACAACAGCTGAAGCGAAGCAGACCACAGACGCTGGACGTTGGTTTGGTTGGTACTAACAAAACAAAGTTTCTTTCTGCTCAGACGAATAGGAATCACGAATCTAAATCTGAATGTGGATTGGGATTGGGGATACCAGCAGCACCAAATACCACCACATAAACCTTGGGGTTTTTTGTATTCTCGGCTGTTCTTCGATGCGTTTTTGGTGAATTCGGATTCCAATCATGCACACTGCTACATACTATAAAAAGTTACATGATTATATTTTACAACGATCAGTTTCAATGCACCGTGACCATACACACAATCTAAGCTATAATCATAGACTTAGGATACTACCAGCATTGATTATATACAGTTAACTCATTATATGATATTTATAGTCCGTGTTATAAGAGGGATCCTCACGCAATTGTATAATTTCTACGAACAAATAAAATCACATTTATTTTTTTATAATTATGAGCTAGGAACAAAGTCACACCATTGACATAAAATGAGGTTACTAACCTCACACCATTGATTAAACATACTATGGTCATACTCCTACAACTGTCTACTCTAGTCAATCGCACTCACTTGCACTGATCCTAAATAGCTATGTACGGAGTTTATGGTTGTGTCAACAATGTAAATTTGAATATAATACCAACATTAAATTAAGGCATACTGTAGATCGTAGTCACCATGCGGCTCCAGCTTTAGAATATAGACAGCACAGTACAGTATCCCCTGTTTCATAAGAGGCAACTAAAAGGGGGGGGGGGAGCACCCATTCTTTCAGCATCTCAACCAACAACTGATCAATGCATACTCTACAAATACCTAACCGAAGATGAGGATGTTGTTTTAACACCAAAACATGTCCTAAATTGACATATTATGTTGAGATGTGACAAGATGATTATTCAAGTTATTTAGTATTTACAAACATACAAGGACAAAATAGTATTTAGATCTAGATCAATTTTTAAATATTCTGCAACAAAACATCAGCTCTAGAACATGCATTATCAGTTTAATACTGTGGATGGGAAGGTTATGTATAATGTAAATAATAAGGACACATTTTATGATTGAAACAGAAAGTTGATTTAATTATTACAATATAGCACTCTTGTCGATGGTTGTGACCAATCCTAAGAAGGTTGAATGTTTGTTTCATTCAGACGAAGAGAGGTTCAGTTCTAAACTTCATCAACATTGGGTTGAAGTAATGTTCAAAAATAATAACCTGAAAAATCACCATCAATTTAAGAAAGTTGTGGCATTTGTTAAACATTTGAACCATTTCTGTGTTATATATAACATTCATTTCTATTTTCTACAGACAAAACTTTTAAGCTGTAAATGTTAATCATAGCATCACATTTCTATACCCTGTTCACAAAGTTTAGGCGTTTTAGGGTAAGAAATCTATCCCCTCCACTTGATCCTACCTTTAAAATAATAAGGCAACAGCTGAGGTTTGCCAAAACGTCAATCAGCTGCAACATTAAGAAAGAAAATGTGGGGAACTTCCTCTGAAACCACCTAAATGTTGTTAACAGACTATAAAAGTATATAGACTATTATAGTCTATTATACTAATCATGTCATAATGTCATGTATCATGTCTAATTAATCAGACTCAAATATGTACCTCATTATTCGAGTTTCACCTTCACATAGCTTCAAGTACATACACAGTACAGAGTTTCACAAGTACATAGCTGATGATCTTTTTGATTCACAACCCAGACAGCACACTTTATCCCAGGGACATCCCATAGTAGTCCCATATGTCCTGAGAATGTCTCGGGATATGTGCGCTATCCTCAGAATATCCCGCAAAATCCCGGGACGAGTACGAAATCCACAGGATATCCTACAATATACCGTAATGTCCCGGGATTTGTAAGTTAACCTCAGGATATCCTGTAAAGTCCCGGGATATGTACGAATGCCATAGGATATCCCAGAATGTCCCATGACATCCCGGGACATGTACAAAATCCACTGGATATCCTGTAATGTCCCGTAATGTCCCGGTAACAAACTGAAGAAAAAAAATACTACCACTGATGAAATGTACAGTATATCTAAATTTAAATGTTCAACAAGGCCAATATATAATAATTTGTTTTTTTCACTACCGGTAGTGCTTTCAGAAACTTGGTTTCCATCTTCAGGCTGTGTTTACACTAGTACAAAAAGTAAATATTTACTTAATAAATTAATTTTAAACAAAGTTAAAACAGATGATTTAAAGGATATTGGAAATATAAAAAATAATATTAGAAAAATTAATCTTTTGAATTTTGGATATGTTACAGTGTTGTTCTTGATGTAATTATTTTCAGTAATTCCGAATTTATAATTGGGCCGTCTTCATTATTTAACAAATAATTTTGGTCTGTTTTTTTTTTCTAAAAATAAGATTCCCACGCATTAAGATGTTGAGGTTTTATAATTTATTTTAAAAGTTTAAGGTTTCCCAGATTGAAAATATGTCTTGTTAATACTATGGCTAGCAAGGGTTGACTTTACTTTACTGACATATTACTACCACTGAGTTCAGGAAAACTAGAGTTCTATCATAGTTGTGTGAAATGTGAATTTAATTCTAACTTTAAATTAATAAAACAACAAAAAACTAATTTTAATCATATAACAATCAGTTATTACAGTGCTAATCTAATGGTGATTAAATAATCTATATTCAAATACCAGTATCCTCTCCAACTACCAGAAAAACAATTCAACTACTTGAGGTCTAAACAGATTAACAGAATCATATATAAGCCTATACTGTAGTATCAAAAATATTTTAAGTATTGCGACCATTGCAACTGTCGGCTACTCTTTAACCACTTGAAAACACCCATAATCAACAAGCGCAGATAGCTCAGGAGGTAAGGTAAGAGGCTCACAAGGCGAAGGTACCAGGTTCGAAACCCGTCTGGGCCAAAAACTTTTTTCTCGTTTTTTTCTTCAAAATTTGTGTTTATTAACTATTTAATCAATTTACTAAACTTATAATTAAGCTTTTCATACTAAATCTATATTATTTTGTGTTTTTTATGTTCAGGCCCAGACCACACTTTATCCCAGGGACATCCCATAGTAGTCCCATATGTCCTGAGAATGTCCTGAGGACTACCCTGGGATGACCTCGGATGTCCCACGGATATGCGTGTGAGCTTATCCGTAGGACATCCCCAGGCGGGGACATTAGGCATTCCTGTGGATATCCTGTGATATCCCAAGTTGACCATAGGAGCACTATGGGATATCTTGCATATCCTGTCGCAATATAGCCTACGTGGGATGTCCTGAGGAGAAAGTGTGCTGTCTGGGAAGGAGGATTTTATTAAATAAAAAAATATAGACCAACTTGAACTTCTAGATACAGTTGAACCTCTATAAGACGAATTTCAAGGGGTGCGGGAAAAATTCGTACTATAGAGGTATTCTTAATAAAGAGGGTCGTTTTATTGAGGTTTAATGCTGCTGTTATTCTTCTTATAGAGGTTTTTCCTCGCTCCAAGGTTTCTCCAAACAATGACTGAGGAAGGAGGAGGGATGGGTGGGGTTTCATGTCGAGACAAGCTTCTGTTTGTTTTGAAAACTACGTACTATGGAGGTTAAGATTATGATAAATTCGTCTCATAGAGGTTACGTTCGTCTTGTAGAGGTTTTGTCCTAAGAATATTCGTTGTATAGAGGTTAATCAGTCCTAGCCCATGTCACAAACAAATTCGTCTTATGGAGGTTTTTAACTTAATTACTGCGTTGTATAGATGTGTTTTTAGCATTGACCTATATGAAAGTGTCAGGGGATTAAAAAAAATTCGTCTTATCGAGGAATTCGTTTTATCGAGGTTCGTACAAACGAGGTTCAACTGTACTCACAGTGTTTTTGCCAGGTTTCAACAGAGGCGCTGGGACAAACAACACTTGTTGTGGACTGTTGCAGAAGTATCGGCCGATGTTGAAACCGTTCACCATCACAAAACCTTTCCGCCAGTCACCAATCTCAAGAAACGTGTCCGTGATTTCCTCTCTAGTCAGCTCAAATGTGGTTCTCACAAAACTTGGAGCCGGTTTAGTTTCGTAGCTTATTCTACTGTTCCAACCTGTCAAACTGTAGTTGCAATCAGTACTTTTTGTCAATTCCTGGTCAATAAAAACAAATATGAATTAAAAATATTTTCTTTCTTATATAATACTTTTATCCACATAGTAACGTTAGTTCCCTTTGTGGAACAATTTTCAAATTGTCATGTACAAAATAAAGGGATTAGTCCCTTATTTACACAAAATGTAAAATAGGTTTATTTACTACGACTTCTGTTGTTTTCAATGCATTGAGATAAAAAAAAATGGCAAAACAATCAGGTTTGCTGAATACTTAATTTTCGGTACACAGTACGGACTGCAAAAGTCCTTGGCAAAAGATCTTTTAGGCTAGGGCATTATCCATTAATTTTTGGATAAAGAAAAAAAATTGAAATTATGATTTTTTACCATAAACATTATCTATAAGATCTATAAATAAGGCTAGTATTTCAAAGCAGAGTAGGTGCAATGTTTATTTATTTATTTATACGGTAAACACCATTTTTACAGTCAATAATACATGAGATTCAAGTTACAAGATATGTTTATGGGTGGGTGGATGAGTAAGATCATAGATTAAGCATACTCCCTTAGGAGGCGAGTAGGAAGGGAGTATGCTTAATCTATGGTAAGATAGACTTAACACGTCTGAATAAAAGATGTTATTGTGGAAGTTTATGTGACAAAGTAAATTAAAATGTGATGAAGTAGGATATTTTAATTAATCAATGTTTGTCAATTAAAAATTAATTCATGCGTATAAGGCAAACAGATCAGTGACTACAGGGGCTTACCTAGAAACCCAAGATGAAAGGAAAGGCATTCCAGTTATGTTGATTTTACTTGCGGGAACAGCATTTTTGAAAACCACTCTGTTTTCTGGCCCCATTCCTTTCTTTTCTGTCATCCATTCTAGACTGTCCGCAAAACTCAATCTTCCGCAGTTTTCTACCAAGA